CAGGAGTTTGAGGTTGCTGTGAGCTAGACTAACGCCATGGCACTCACTCTAGCCTGGGCAACAAAGCGAGACTCTGTCTCAGAAAAAAAAAAAAAAAAAAAAAGAAAAGAAAATGCTTCATTTTAATCAATCTTAAACTTATTAATTCCATACAATTCCATAAGCATTTATTAAGTATTCAAGTATCAGGCACCAGGATAGGGACTGACTTTGTAAACAGACATATGAAAGTAATCTGCTCTCCTGAATTTTAAAGTTCAGAATAAGAAGGTATGCTTAATAGTAGATTTCTACTTCATCTGAGTAGTCTTGTTAAACTGAGTTGCAAAAGAATCTGTGTGTTTGAGGTAAGCATACATAAGGCTTAACATTGACTTCTAAAATGAAATCATTTAGAACCCTATTTTCACTTAGTTATGTAAATTTTATTTCTAGACACAAAATGTAAAGATCATGACTTAAAATTACTTGGAAATTCCTTAGGTTTAGAATATAGAAGGGCAGTCTACCAACTACCAAAAAAAAAAAAAATATGAAAAGACCATGGGTTTTGGAGTTGGATGAACCTGGGATTAAGGTCCAACTTTGAAATTTAATCACTGTCATTTTAAGCATTTTTCTTGACTTAACCTTTGATTTCATCAATTATAAGAAAAATACATACTCGTCTTACAGGTTTCTTGTTATAATTACACCAAGTGAGAGACTTTTGAAAGCATATTGCTCAAGAAATATTTTCTTCTCTTCTAATATCCTTTTCTCTCCAAAGTTATGATGGCCCATACCTTCTTTCCCCATGTTCAAGCATTTGGGTCATTTTTCATACTAGCAAGCTCAAAATAAACATTAAGTCCTGGTGGTCAAAAGGGCCTAATGCTCCAGACACAAACTCTTTTGGGAAATTAATGGATTACAAATGATAAGTAAATATATATAAGAGGATATAAGTATATATCCTCTCAGAGGCTAAAAAATAGTCCAGGCTCACTCTAAGGACAGTACTGCAATGTTATCTTTCTTTTTAAAAAAAAATTGCTGTTTTCTAAGAAAATTACATAATACTATGTTCACTCGTGTGTTCATTCCTCAATGCTCAGTAAGCAAATACAGTAATGTGTAGAATCCTTAGAACTTTGAAACAAAGGCAAGTAAGGCTCAATCTCTGCACTTAAGCAGCTTAAACCTAGCAAAGAGACACAGGTGTACAAGAGCACATGCTAAGATACAAGGCAAAAGGTATACTCGCCCTCATACTCTCAAGAGTATGGGTTTTGAAGGCAAGCTAAGAGACCAGGGTTCAAATCCCAAACATGTGTCACCATGGACAAGTTACTACTTCATTGGAGTCTCAATTTTATTGGCTGAAAGTTATACTTAGCATACAAGAGGCATAAGTATATATATTATGTCCATCATAAAAAAGGTAAAAGGAAATTCAAAAGAAAAGAGGCATCATCTTTAGCTGATAGGTTACACTAAAAGATAGTCTAACAATAACTAACAATTTCCAAGTACTTGCTAGGTATGTTACATGCATTATCTCATTTAATGGATAAGACCTATTCTTTTTTTTTTTTTTTTTTTTTTTTTTTTTTTTTTTTTTTTTTTTTTTGGAAATTGTTAAGAGGGTCTTTGAATCCAAAGAAAAAAAAAAAAAAAAAAAAAAAGGTGGGTGGGGGGAGAGGTGATTCAATGTACATAAAGGAATTGAATGAAAAGTCACTCTCTCACAGAAGGAACCACTGTTAAGTTTCTTATTTATTTTGCCTACTTCCCAACTAGATTAAGTAAAAATGTGTCAGTTCTAACACACCAGCAACTGGAAAATTAATAAAATAACAAGAATGTACCACTTTTGGGTTATGATATGTCGTCCTATTTGGAAAACTTTACAACCAAATCAAAGTGCATAACCACACTTTTTAATAATGACCCAAGTGTAGAACACTTCTTTTGTTAAAGTCAAATTGTCTAGTAAGTAAATGATTATATCTCCAGTACAACAGAAATCTATTTAAATACTAAATACCACTGGACAATTTTGCTAGGCTTTTTATGCTAGAAATGCACTATTAATAAAGGTAACAAAATTCCACAATTCTGTTTTTGAATCAGACGTATGTTATATATCTGGAACCTTACTCATACAAAAGATGTTCAAGTTGTGAATAAATTATTTCTGGCATTATGAATATTTAATAATGCCATAGCAATGTTTAAAATATTTGGCAATACATCCTTGCTTTAAAAAAACAAAAACTAAAAAATAACCTAGTTTAACTTTCACCAACCATCCACTATGATTAATTCAGATTTTCAGTTTCCCTTAAATGGGGGATATACGTACAAGCTGACACAACAGGAAAGCATCATTTTTATGTCACTCGCTTTATTAAGAACCTTGCATACAATTTCATATGCTCCCAAACTTACCTTTTCATTTTTCTTATCTATCTCTGGTAGCTGCTTTGCTGTTACACTTTGAGGAGTTCGGACTTCACCCTCAGCCACTTCAACAGTCCGTCCATTTGGCTGCACAGGCAACAAAAAGGATCATGTTATCAAATGCTTAGCAGATCAAACTAAAGATTTATATTCAGGAAACAGCATATGCTACAACCAAAATCTTCTGCCTGACCTAAATTAAAAAGGTTTTTGTCCAGCAATGTTTCTAACACTTGGTTGATTATTGTCCCCAGTAACACTGCTTTGGAATATAAACACAATATACTCATAAACAAAATTCTGTCTCACAAATTTTCTAATCTCATCTAGGTATCTATCAGTCCCTCTAACAAAAATGGAACAGTGACAGTTAAAAGGAGAACTAACCTATATTTGCACTTTGACCACCAATTAGCTTTGTAATCTCAGAACATTGCACTCAATATTTTAGGTTTTGTGAGCCATATAACCTCTGTTGCAACTATGTAACTTCTCCAATGTAGCACAAAAGCAGCCATAGATAGTATACAAACAAATGAATGTCAAATATCTCTAATGTCACCTCTAATTCTATAATTTAATGACTCTACTGTTCAGGGATTAAGAAACTTTTCCAACCCATTGCCACAGACTAAAAAGGCTATCTCAGCTTTCCTAATATTCTTAAAATAAAATGATAGCACTTAGAAGTGTCTATGAGCAGAGTCTAATCTGTGATTCCCAAATCTGGCTTTTAATCAGAATCTTTTAAAATAATTTCTGAGCTTCATCATCAGAAATGTATATAGATTGAAGAGTTTTAAGAATGGAGCCTAGGTATCTGTATTCTAACCTTCTTTATAAATTCTACCACTTCTTTCCATTTGTGCATTCCCCTCAAATTCAATGAAGTTAGCAAACCAATATACTATTATAACAGTTCCAATGGCTTTATATTTTAGTTCTTGCACAACAGTCTTCTACCAGACTACTTACTCATTATAGCAGAGCTATACTCAAGAAAACAATATGAATGTTTAAAGTTTCTATAATGTGACTTTACCTGCATTTGTTAAAACGATTAGGGACACACAGAAAAAGAGGCTGTCTATATTCTAAAATCCAATTTGTAGGCTTTCCAAAGATTTGTGGCAGAAAATCAAAACAAAAGCTGTCTTTTAGCTGCTTAAATTCCTAATTAATCCAAATTTAATCTGCTGGGTCTTAGGCAACTTGTTAAAAGTCAGACAGCTAATGCCAAAATCAGGTTTCCTCACTCTTGATTTGGTTCTTTCCTCTGTGCTGTTTTGCCTTTTCTAATCTCTCTTTCTGTATATATGTATGTGTATGGTGGGAGGATAGAAGAGGGAGGTAGTACATGGAGAAATGTAAGAGATTTCCTACATTATATTCCTACATTAGGAGTATAAATATATATTCCTACATTAGGAGGATAAGACTTTAATTTCCAATATCATTATCTACTTATTGGTCTATTCTCATGTTACTTCTTAGTTCATACCATCTTTCCTAGCTAAACTTACCTTTTCTGACTTCTTGGGGTTAGCCTCACCATTCCACGAAAGCCTTACACTAATTGATAATTTCGCAGCTTCTATTACAGTTTTCCACCTCTTCAACTGGCAACTCACAAGGCTTTCATAGGAAACTCCACCATAGTCACTTTTTGTTTTTTAATGAAGGGGTTGGGGGCTGTGAGCGGGGTGTTCAGTTGCCTTGTTTGTTTTTGTTGAGACAGAGGCTCACTCTGTCCCCCTGGGTAGAGTGCAGTGGCATCACTGTAGCTCACTGCAACCTCCAACACCTGGGCTCAAGTGATCCTTTTGCCTCAGCCTCCTGGGTGGCTGGGACTACAGGTGCACACTGCAATGCCCAGCTGGGTTTTTATTTCCTTTCTTTTTGGTAGAGACAGGCTCTCACTTTTGCTCAGGCTAGTCTTGAACTCCTGAGCTAAAGCAATCCTCCTGCCTTAGCCTCCCAGAGTGCTAGGATTACAGGCGTGAGTCATTGCACCCAGCCATCATCATAGTTACTTATATACCACTTCCATTTTACTCATATACTTGAATACACTGAATCATTTATTTACTAAATGCTAAAAGATGAGAAAACTGTCAAAAACTGTCTTAAAAACTTACCAAAAAGCTCAATGCTATTTATCTGAGACCAACTGCAAACACTATTGATGTAGTTTCCTAAATGAAAGATGAAACAATCTTTCCTTTCAAATAAATACAAACTCTGAAGTCCTCAATCAGTGACCAACAGCACTCTCATAGATCCAGGAACACTCAGTTTCCATTTCTACAGGCTCTGAAATGATTAGCAAGTCAAAGGTGCACATGTGCCCCTACCTGCGCCAATTTCAGTTCCTTCTTTGCAACATCAACCTATATAATGGCTGTAACTGCAGCTGTTCTCTCTGGCCTATGCAGATCAACAAATTTTCCACTAACTCTTGGGATTTATACAGCTGTCATCACTACTAGATTCCATAGTCATCAACAATTCCCCACACACGCCTGATACCATGAAACGAAAAGCCTTCTATCTCAAGAGTAAAGTCAACAGAATTCTTGGGTAGCAGGAAAAAAGAACATACTATAGCAGCTCTCCTTCACAGAGCAGCACAAATCAGTCCTTTTATTCTACACTAGCTGGTCAAGAAGGCCTTGTCCTGGAAAATCATTAACCACATGTAAATTAGCAAATCCCTAAATGGGAGATTATATAGATCTGCTCACATGAAAAGCAACTAAATGCAAACCAACACTTCAGTCCAGGCTCGGTGGCTCACGCCTGTAATCCTAGCCCTTTGGGACGCTGAGGCGGATAGATCGCTCAAGGTCAGGGAGTTCGAAACCAGCCTGAAAAGAGCAAGACCCCATCTCTACTAAAAATAGAAAGAAATGAATTGGCCAACTAAAAACATATAGAAAAAATTAGCTGGGAGTGATGGCACATGCCTGTAGCCCCAGCTACTCGGGATGCTGAGACAGAAAGATTGCTTGAGCCCAGGACTTTGAGGTTGCTATGAGCTAGGCTGACGCCACAGCACTCTAACCAGGGCAACAGAATGAGACTCTTGTCTCAAAAAAACCCAACACTTCAAAATCCAATGTGACTAATTAGTTACTGCCAATATGGATTTTATGTGAAAGTATTGTGTTCTCTGATCATGTAACTTTATAAGGTGGATTTATACAGATATGGGCCTCCCGTTGTACCCTATCGTAAAATTCTCTGGAGAACTTTGAGTTCTTCCTCTCTAGAACCAATCAAACTTACAGCATACAATTTGTATCTTAAGTTAGAGCAAAGATGTCCTTCAAATTTGGTGAAAGTCAACCAGTAACAGAAAAATGTAATCATTTTATTTATATGGATAAACTCATTGTAGTTATTGCTATGTTTACCTTATTGATATAACTCCCTTCAAACCCCCACCTGGATCCTTTTTTAAAATGCATGCACAAAAGAATTGTGTGTGTGTGTTGGCAGGGGTGGTAGTAAACCAGAACAAGGACACCTAAACATCAGAGGAGAATGGAATGGAAGAGGAGGCCACAGTATTAGGAGAGCAGGAGCTAAAGTTATGATTCTTGATTTCAAGAAAATAAAATGCTTTGGGTAGTAATTCTTAGAATTGGAAAAGAGAAAGAAAAAAAAAAAGAAGAAAAAAGGAAGAGAAAAAAATTAAAAAAAAAAAGAGGCCGGGAGCGGTGGCTCACACCTGTAATCCTAGCTTTCTGGGAGGCCAAGGCGGGTGGATTGCTCGAGGTCAGGAGTTTGAAACCAGCCTGAGCAAGAGCGAGACCCCGTCTCTACTATAAATAAAGAGAAATTAATTGGCCAACTAATATATATAGAAAAAATTAGCCGGGCATGGTGGCAAATGCCTGTAGTCCCAGCTATGTGGGAGGCTGAGGCAGGAGGATTGCTTGAGCCAGGAGTTTGAGGTTGCTGTGAGCTAGACTAACGCCATGGCACTCACTCTAGCCTGGGCAACAAAGCGAGACTCTGTCTCAGAAAAAAAAAAAAAAAAAAAAAGAAAAGAAAATGCTTCATTTTAATCAATCTTAAACTTATTAATTCCATACAATTCCATAAGCATTTATTAAGTATTCAAGTATCAGGCACCAGGATAGGGACTGACTTTGTAAACAGACATATGAAAGTAATCTGCTCTCCTGAATTTTAAAGTTCAGAATAAGAAGGTATGCTTAATAGTAGATTTCTACTTCATCTGAGTAGTCTTGTTAAACTGAGTTGCAAAAGAATCTGTGTGTTTGAGGTAAGCATACATAAGGCTTAACATTGACTTCTAAAATGAAATCATTTAGAACCCTATTTTCACTTAGTTATGTAAATTTTATTTCTAGACACAAAATGTAAAGATCATGACTTAAAATTACTTGGAAATTCCTTAGGTTTAGAATATAGAAGGGCAGTCTACCAACTACCAAAAAAAAAAAAAATATGAAAAGACCATGGGTTTTGGAGTTGGATGAACCTGGGATTAAGGTCCAACTTTGAAATTTAATCACTGTCATTTTAAGCATTTTTCTTGACTTAACCTTTGATTTCATCAATTATAAGAAAAATACATACTCGTCTTACAGGTTTCTTGTTATAATTACACCAAGTGAGAGACTTTTGAAAGCATATTGCTCAAGAAATATTTTCTTCTCTTCTAATATCCTTTTCTCTCCAAAGTTATGATGGCCCATACCTTCTTTCCCCATGTTCAAGCATTTGGGTCATTTTTCATACTAGCAAGCTCAAAATAAACATTAAGTCCTGGTGGTCAAAAGGGCCTAATGCTCCAGACACAAACTCTTTTGGGAAATTAATGGATTACAAATGATAAGTAAATATATATAAGAGGATATAAGTATATATCCTCTCAGAGGCTAAAAAATAGTCCAGGCTCACTCTAAGGACAGTACTGCAATGTTATCTTTCTTTTTAAAAAAAAATTGCTGTTTTCTAAGAAAATTACATAATACTATGTTCACTCGTGTGTTCATTCCTCAATGCTCAGTAAGCAAATACAGTAATGTGTAGAATCCTTAGAACTTTGAAAC